CGAATTTTAATTATTACTGAATTATTTGAAAATCAATACTGTGTTATATTGAACGAAAACCGGATAAATCGAATAAACCGGTGAGTGAGTGTCGTACCTGACCGAACAAGAGAACGGCGAAAGCAGAGAGTGTCTGAAAAAGACCAGGAATGAAGAAAGCGATCCTCCAAGCCGTGAACTTGGTGGCTCCGAGTTTAAGAATCACCGAGAACACGAGCGGCATGATAAGCTGCGTCGCTCCACCTCCGAGATTTCCCCAACCGGCGGCGATTCCGTTAGCCGATCCCACGACGGGTCCGGAGAACATAGAGCTCATCCAGAACTGCGTCGAGACGAAAGTCGCCAGAGAGAATCCGGCGAAGAATCGTACCATGATGAATCCGATCGGAGATTTTATCCCGGAGGTGAAATACACGGCGGGAGCGGTGGAGAGGGTTAACGCGGCGGAGGCTAGTCGCGGACCGAAGAGATCGCATGCAGTGCCCATGACGAGACGAGCGAAAACAGAGCCGGAAACAGAGGCGATTCCGGCGTTTCCGATGTCGGTGGCGGTGAGGTTGAGATTCTCGCGGATGACTGGGAGGAGTGGTGGAGCTGCGAAAGTGGAGACGAAACAGCAGAAGAATTGGAACCATGAGAGATGGAAAGCTCTCATGTGAGGTTTAGCGACGGAGAATAGCCGGAAAGTTGTTGACTTGTTCTCTGTATCCACCGGAAGTGCGAATTTCCGGTTGGTGGTGGTGGTGGGACCAGATTCTCCTCCTTTGCCTTCGACCTCCATTTTTGGGAATTTTGGGTTTTGTAAAGGGTTTAAGGAATGAGAAGATCTTGAGGAATCTAAAGGTTTCAGGTTATGAGTTTATTTATAGAGAGGACAGTGTGTACGGCTCTGACATTTTCGTGGATGTTATTGTGAAGATGATGTAATCATCATTTGTTTTAAGTTTTATTTTTTAGTTTAGGAATTTGGTTGATGTGTGAGTGTTATAGAGAAATACAGTATTTTCATAAAAGTCACCAATAATCATTTGCAAGATTCATAAATGAGAATTTGAAATATGTTTTTGTCGCCTATTGATTTTTTTCTTCTTCTGTGTGTAAATTTATCTAAACAAATAGGTAACTAACAAAACTTACAACTGATTACTCTCTCATGTTTGCAACGAGTTATAGAATGTTCTCTCTCTTAATAGTTAAGAGTCATCTACCGTAGATGTTAAATAATTATTTTTAGGATCTCATAAATTAGATAAGAGACGACAAAAAGATAATTTGAAATAAGTTTCTTACTTCTGTGTACGAATATATAGCTTCTATATAAATAAATAGCTAACTAACAAAAATTTATAATTGAACCATCTCTTCTCTATGAGTTAGATGATACTCTCTCTGAATAGTTAGATTCATCAACTCTCTCTGAATAGTTAGATTCATCTGCCGCAAACGTTAAATAATCATTTGTAAGATTTCATAAATGAGACAAAAGACGAGAAAAAGAGAGTTTGAAATATTTTTTTTTCTTTGTTGACTTTTTGATCGTTTTTTCATGTGTATGTATAATTCT